CGGATGAATATTTTTGGCAACCCCAAAACATTCTTCCAGGATTAGTTGGTGTTCTTGATGTCTTTAGTTCAGCATATATTCCACAGTAGCAACATCGAATCGTCATTGTGAAGACCAACAAAATCAAACCAACAAAAATACAATAGAACCACACAAAAAAAAGAAGATGAAACAAAAATACAATAGAATCGCACACAAAAAAAAGATGAGTAGATCGAAGGAAAAAATAAAGGCACCAAAAATAAAAGAGAAAAAAATTTGAAGAGACAAAATCGAGAAAAAGAGGAGAAAAAAGCTCAAATTTGTCCAACAATGGTGTTTGAGTGAAAATAAAGAAGAAAGATGACCTTTAAAGGTCAAAATCTGACCGTTAGTTTATTTTTAAGGCGTCTCACGCTCTTACCTTGTGTGTATCACACGCTCCATGTGGAGTCTTTCCACATAGGATGCCACATCAAAAAAAATGTTTAAAATGTTGGGTTTGGATGGGTTCAGGGGTCCAGATAACAAAAGGATAAGTAGAAGAGTTCACAATACAAACAGATACAAGTACAAGGGTCCACCGGATCATTCTGCCTTTCTCAAATAACCCCAATGTTATACATCACTCTCTCTCCTTCAGTGGTACAACCCATCAAATTTATGTGGGTAAGTTTTTAATTTCTTCTGTACTTCTCTTTCTTCTTCCTTCTTTATACTGTAGTACAATTCTATGGGTAATATTGTACTAGGTGCATCCCAATTCTTCCTCTGTGATGTTTGCTTAAATTAATTCTTTCGACTTTCTTCTTGCTGGTCTCTTCAATTCTTTGAGATTCACTAATTAAAAGTAGTCGCAATTTTAGTATGTGTATCTTAATTATTTATTCTTTTAGATATAATTTCTAGCTAAGATTTCTACATGCATATTACTAACTACTTGATTTGTACATGCATTGCGTTTCTTTGATGAATTTAATTTTTATAGCCAATTAATTAGTGCAAAAGTTAGAGGTCTTACAAAAATGTAAAATATCAAGAATGCCTATGCCTTAAATTTTTAAGTGAATTGTGCATCTAGGTTGTTTGATAATATGCCTCAATTAACTTATTTCAAAGTTTCCCTGGTCATTTTTGTTTTCGGGTTGCAGCAAGATAATCTGTATCATCAACAGAGTAAAAATCTTTTGGGAGAATATCAATTTATCTTATCTTGGTGATTTTGGATCTATTATTCAAGATGTGGGGCTACTATGTTGTCTATTAGTATCATCTTCCACAAACCTGGCAAGGTATTAGCTATTAATTATTTTTTGTGGCTATTATTTTTCTTTATTTTGGTCAACTATGTAACTTTGAGTATTACTATATTTATCAGTACTCATTTTTCTTTTTTGGCGTTTGGCTTTTTTTTCACTTTTTCTTTGAATAGAAAATAACAAGACTACAAGAGGTGTACAAAAATTGGTACGAACACTATCCTTATAAAAAAATTGACTGCAAGAAAGATTCAGTAGAAGCTGACATTTTACACGTCAGAAAAATCTATCGCATTAACTTGATTTTGTGCAGCACCATGGTTGATACGCAAAAAAATATTGAGGATATTATTACAAAAAATCACTAATAATATAGAAGACTTTCACCATCCTTTTTATGTTTTTTTCTCTCTTTTATGGTGTGTATTTATTTTATCTTTTTACTCTCTCTCTATGAATGAAATGTTACAAGTGTCTTGCAACTTTTACTTTTTTTTGCATAAAAGTTTATGGAGTATGTACTTCTCCCAAATTTCTTTTAAAAGATAATTTCTTTAAGTGAAAGGTTTCTCCCATATTATCATATTTAACAGTAAAGAGATTTCTGGACAGAATGACACTAACATAAAAGGAAGCTTTGATGACCTTGCCGACTACTATATAGTATGAGAGTCTTCACTTGGTAATCTTCTTCTCTTCTATATGTAAATCTCAAAAATTGTATTTGAGGTTTCTTAGAATTTTCTGTATTTCTAATTTAAGAGAATGATAATGGCTTAGTCAGTTAACAAATGACCCCTTAAGTATAACATTTACTTGATAAAAAATTATATCTTCCCCACCAAACAATGTTTCAAAGTTTGTACAATACACTCTGAAACTTAGGTTTGGATATTTTTCACTTTGCATTGATTTAATCACTGAATATTAAAATGTATTTGAAGAAAAATATGCAATACTTGAAAGATACTATAACAAAAATAACTTTTAGCGGCAATGAATATATATATTAACAAAGAATGTTAAAGATTTTACCGGCATTAGTTAATTGCTATTGGATCCAATGTCGCTATAGGCTTTAGAGACATTTACAAAGAGCATTAATTGCCACTAAAAATACATATTTAGTTGACAGTAATTAAGCTATTGTCATTAATTAAATGTCACTAAAAATTATTTTTGAAGTAGTAAATCAATATTCTACACTTCATACTGTGAAATTGCTCAAACAGTTTCTAAGAAAGATTTTTATGGTGTCGAAACAAGATCAAAATGAATATCATTCTTTTTCTCTTTGATAAGTTTGATAATGCAAGTGTTTTAAACTCTATAAAGAGTTCATCTTCTCTTATAATTTTCTTCAAAAATACTTTAGCAAAGATGAGATTCATCTCCATCACAGTGTCTTCTATAGTCCTATATTACCTCGAACCGTCGAGGCCCTTCACTGTTTGCAATTGTAACTTAAGGGCCCTCCTAATTTCTTAAATTTTAGCATTTGAGTAAATACTTTTCTCACCTGGAAAATTCTAAATGATGGTTATGACATCTTATTATTAAAGTATATCATTATAAATAGTTGTGTGACACTAATTCTTTAATGATACTGATTGGAGTGGAGCTTCTTATTAACTACATCAAAAGAAAAATTTTAAATTTTAAATTCAACGTAGTAGACCAAAAGTTCTTAAGCTACTGTTGGTGTGCTTATTGTCAATGGTAGTCGTATGTGTAATATATTTCAGAGTGAAATGTTAATATAGGTAAATTGTTAAACATTTTCAAGATGTAATAATGATATTTTTCAAGTGTTTTTCAGGGTATAAGGCTTAAAATTTTCTTCTTGTGATGCACAACTCTTGGTATTAAGTTTCTCTATGTCATCCCTTTCAACCAATTTCCTCTTTTGATCTGTATCATTCTTCTCACTTGTATTTTTTGTCTGCAGAGTCTATGGGAGCTATATATTCTCTTCGATAGTATTTTACTCTTTTTTCTGACAACATTACCATTTATGAATAAGCATGATACTAATTTATGATTTCGAGATTCATTTTCCTTCTGTAATTACGCACTAGTCTTTGCACAACTGGGATGGCCTGATATGATAAATTACCCATATATATTTCATACTTTCTGGAACATAATTAGCATGGTCTTGATCTTTTCAAGTAAAGACCATTCTTCTTTCTGAATGATTTTTTTTTCTAAGCTCACTAGATATCTATATTTGGTTACAATTTTATTTATTTACTTCCAAATATAACTAAACTTTGGATATTTCCTTTCCACTAAGTATAAGTAATATTGAGTATAATGGTACATATTCAGATTATTGATATTTGAAGCCTTTGATAGTGTTAAATGTCCATCCATGAATATGACTGATGTTGCTAGGCAAGTTGCAGAGACCATGACTGAAGTTTGTGAGTGCAACAAATGAAAAGGCGGTGACATTATGTTTTTAGTGAGAGGTATGTAGTATGTGTTCTTACATTCGAGTTCTGCATTATATGTTTCTAATATTTAGTTTGCTAATAATTTATGAATCTGTAGTAAATAATAACTTTGTCAACTCTTATGTATTCACTATGTCCTTATGCAGAAAGAGAAACTTGAGGTATTTCTAAGTAAGAAAGAGGCTTATTTAGATCACAAATTATCTTATTTTTCATTGTTTAGGAGAACACGTAACACTCTTATTGCTCTGTTTCTATGAAAATCAAAGTTATTTGGTTGTGACTTTTTAAATCATCCTCAATAATTTTGAAAAAACATAGCATATGTATGGATCTGGTCTAATACTATCACGCTGTCTTTCATTGTAGGTGTTTATTTTCAACTTAAAAAAAAAGATGTATGCACTTAATGGAGTTCTAGAAGGATCATGACAAAAGTGTTGGAGGATTTCCCAACAACAATATCCTATGAACTGCTTCAATTGGGTATCACCCTCTCTCAGTCCTTATTGGAGTTTTTGTGATAATTGAACTCTTTGGGGTAAATTATAGGACTATGTAATTCTGTTCTCAAGTTTGTAGTTATCATCAAAGTAAGAGTGTCTTGTGTCTAAGATATTTTTATCTATGATGCTAAAGTAACTTTTGTACGTTGTGTTGGGATCATGCTCGGGCCATGCCCTTCTAGTCTAGTATATATATGAGGGAAAGAGAAGATTTTAGGGTTCTTTTATTTCACACAGGTAAATTTGAAATTATCTAAAAGAATTGAGGGTACAAAAGTAATATCATTTCTCAAACTTAAAATAACTTTTAAGTCAAAAATAAATAGTAGGGAGAGTCCTACTTTTTAAATCTATTTTAGACTTATTTTGAGTTATTTTTAACTTTACCAAACATTGTCAAAAGCTAAAAATGACTTACAAAGTAGATTTGACTAGCTTTTAAACTAATCCAAACATGCTCTATGTTAGGAGTATCTCCCACTACTCATAATTCCTTAGCTATTGCCTTGCCCTCTCCATACTTTGTCCATCATCTCCATTGAGTACATCCTTCAATTCCTTGTTATTGAAAGGAATTTTCGGTCAGGTGTTGTGATCTTTATTATCATATTGAAAGTAATAAGGTGATTCCGTTAGTCATTCTAGATAATAATCAATGCAATCCAATGTATAATTTTCATGTATAATTTTTGGGTCAAAGAAAATCACCTTTGTCCTGAGTTAGATCATTGCTTTAATATGTTACACCAATTAGTTGGTGTTGAAACTACTCGAAAAGCCTAAACTAAACTTGTGGTTGCTTGTGCTAGCTTTACGTTCAAAGACATAAATTCATGAGTTAAAATCTTAGTTACATAATTAGAGAGAGTGCAAGTATTGAGTCCTCAAATTAAAAGTGAAGATGATTTTTGACAGATTGACTACTTTGTGATATCCTATTTTCAACAATGAATTGGTTGAATTTATTCTTGTTGGATTAGAGCTTACTTATTATCACCATTACACAAAATCGCTTGAATCACATCAAGAGGATATTTTTTTGACACTTTATATGAATTGTTATTGAATGAAGAATGACAATTAAAGTGAGATGAAATTCTTACCGATATTACACCTACAACATAGTTTATACATATTTTATTCACTTTGTGTCATGGTTGTGGGAGAGGAGGCAGATGTAATCGAGCTCGTAGACGTTATCAATATCAAGGTTTCTCTCAGTTGACTCAATATCGTGTTTCCTACCGGCTCTTTAATCCTATACCTTTAGACACATCAACAATTGTTTTCCACTAATAAAAAAGAGATAATTTATGTGTGTTTTTATTGCTTTATCTCTTTAATTTTTATATTTTTGATGAAATACTCTTCTACAACTTTAATGACAATCTTTATCAATTAATTCTTTTAATTTTTTATATTTTGGCTGGTTCTTTGTTTAATTAATGTTTTTTTCGCAATGATATTGATAATGGCGGAATGGTGCTAGAAAGAAAGAATTAAGGAGTATATGGAACGAGGGTATGTCAACAGACCGTGACAAAGAAATTTGGCAGGTAAGGATTCTAGGTAATATGAAATTGAGAAGTCCAATTGAAAAAGATGACTGGAGAAAGACGATTGTTAGGAATTGAGGAAGATTCAGTTTGTTCTTTATAAAAAAATGAAAAAGAAAAAATAGTGGAACCTGTGGAACCAAAAGGAAGAACAAAAGATTTTGTAAAATGGAGTGAATAAGATGAGTTAAAGGGGTGTGGGGTGGTTTTTTTTAATAAAAAAATTAAGATTATCATTAAATTAAATTAGTTTTATTTAAAGTTATTCAGTTAATGTATGTCAGGTATCAAATAAATTATAAATCTATCTAGAAATAAAATAAAATAAAAAAGAATGTGGGATCTACTCATGCGTCCAACAGAGTGGAAAAATATCCTCTCGGTAGAACTTTGGAAAAAAAAATAACTTGAAGAATAATGGATAGCAATGATCAAGAAATGAGTGAGCATGAAGCGGATCTCCTAAACCGAAGTACAAAACCACAGAAAGAAGAAATAACATCAAATCCTAGATCTAAAGTAAGTTTTCTTGAATCCCTATTATCAAATATGGAAGACCCGAACATTAACTATGTTACTCAAAGCCTAGACAACATTGTTTCCAAGACGAGCAGGAAAACCCCCAAAATCATCCAAATTTTATCCCCATAACATCAGCTGATTGTAACATCTCGCAATTTGAAATAAATAGGAAGAAACTAATAATTGGAAATAGTCATTTTTGGAAAGAATGAAAATCTGGAAATTTTGTTAAGTTAGAATAAGTTGAGTTTTGTCCAACTTCAAACGGCTATAACTTCTAGCTCAGGATGAGTTAGAGGTACTTCCAGATATGGTAGGAAATCTCTTGGAATTATATTTCCAACGCCGCAGAGTTTGCGTGATTCCGAGTTCGTATGAGTGAGTTATTCCCTTTGGAAGTTCGATTGTTGGAATAAGGAAAGTCCAATATGGATTTATAAAGGGTAGTTTGGTCTTTTCCTTGCTCAATTATTTTATTTCGTTTTTGGTAATTAAGTTAGGGTCTAATCAGAATTAAATCAGTTTACGCTTTTACCAAAATACTCTAGGGCTTGGAGAAAAGAGAAAAGAAGAGGAGAAAGGAGAAGAGAAGCAAGATTCGTCCAGATCATCGAGTTTAGCTTGTGGATTTCGTCGGGGGTGTTCCCTACAAGCTATGTGAGATCACATAGCGTTGAGTTAGGTCACCCACGCGCCAATCATGATTCAATTTCAGCGAAGTTATTAGATTTGAAAGTAAATCCTCGAGTTCTTGATGAAATTCGTTTGAATTCTTGTGGGTTGTGTTGTTGGAGTTTTCTTGAGATTGATTCATGTTGTTAGTTGTGTTTTTCGAATAGAATATGATGTATATTGAGGGTACAAATGATTCTAAGTGTTTGGGGAAAGAACCATTGAAGTTTAAAGGGTTTAGAGATGAAAAACGAGCAAGAAAAGTCATCAAACACCTGGGGATAGGGGTGGGGCGTCGCGCCAGCCAGCGCGCACCAAAGAGGGCTCTGAACTTTCACCCTTGGGGCGCCGCGCCAGCCAGCGCTTCCCAGGGCAGTCTCTGAACTTTGCCCTCTGGCACCTCGCACCTCTTAGAGCGCCAGGGACGCCAGTCTTTCCCATTTCTTTCCCACCTTTTAGTACTTGTTCCTTAGCAATGTACCTATGTTTTCTAGTTGATTCCAACACTCTAAGGTACATATAAACATCATGAAATCATCCATAAACATAAGATCATGAATCTTGAATCCATAATCCAATTCAAGGAAAGTTAAGATCAAAGTCAACAGTAGTTCTTAGAGTTTTCCAAAAGTCTTTTCCAAATGTTTGAACTTTGTTTTAAGACTTAAAGTTCAAGTTGAGTAAAGATTAAAGAGAAAAGTTTGAAGTTCATTTATTCAAAAATATATGGGGACTATGTATTCCCAAAGGGTTCAAAATGTTTTCAAATTTAAACAAGAAAGGACACCTCGATTTTCAAAGAGGCTTTGGGCTAGTTTTCAAAAAAGAGTAATCACTTTCTAAATGAAGCAACATAGGAAACTTTGATTTTCAAGATAGCCTTTGAGCACTAATCTCAAATCACAGAAAGAAGTATGTTTTAAACATAAGAGTTAATATCATATTTTTGGGAGTAGTATTGAGCACCGATATGGGGGAGAGTTCAGATAACTCACAACCCCCATAAACCATGTAGCCATCATGGGTTGAGAGGAGTCATACTTTTTAGATGATTCCTTTAGTGTTTTTTAGCATAGACTAGTGGATCCACTTAGTAGTTCAGGTTCTATACCCCTGGCAAGGTATAGGATGGCCCTGGCAGCGTGTGGCAAATGTTGTATCATCACAATAGCTCTTACGTGATTGTTGTTGGTTAGAGAAACTCTCACAGAAGTAATTGTATTCTTAAATACACAATTTATTTGTATTTTTACATACATTTCAGAGTTACATGTATCTTTGCATACACACAGAGTTGACATCATGTTTTAAACAACTTTTATTTATATTGCACTTGTTTTAAACTGCTTTATATTGAAATGAGTTCAGTTATGTTGAGTTGAGTTGAGCCAGGTAAGTTCTTCAGATTCCTTTCAAGCCTATGTTGTGTTTAGCATTCCAACTCTCATACTCGTACATTCAATGTACTGATGTCAGTTGGCCTGCATCCTATTATGATGCAGACACATGTAACTAGGATCGGCATCCAGCACATCGTTGATTCAGTGAGCACTCCGGAGTCAGTTGGTGAGCCTCCTTGAATTCCGGAGGACTCCTTTTTATTGCTTTCAAGTATTTTATTAGTTCATTAGGATGTCGTGGGGTTTGTCCCGACATCTATCTCAGTTATTTTTAGAGGCTTCATAGACAGTCAGATGTTAGTTCTTTAATCTTTTCATTGTCATTATCTTATGTTAAGACTTGAGTTTTGCCTTAATGTCCAAGTTGACTGTTCCATTATAACATTCCAGTTTATTACATAGACTTGTCTTTGTTGAATTAAGTCTTCCGCTAAGTAGGTAAGCCAGGCCAAGGGTTCACTTGGGGCCAACAATGGTTCTCGAGTGCCGGCCACGTCCAAGGTGTAGGCTCGGGGAGTGACCAACTTGGTATCAGAGCACAGAGTTTAAGAGTCCTAGGGAGTCTATGAAGCCGTGTCTGTAGAATCCTAGTTATCGGTGTGAAGCGCGCCACATCTATAATTAGGGGGCTGCAACACTTAGGAAATTTTCTCACTTCTTTCACACTCATTTCGTGCGTTAGAGTTTGATCTCTAAAAAGTTTCCTTCTAATTCGTGCTTGCGCGTGTTTTAAGATAATCATGCCTCCACGAATTGCTGTCAGAGGTCGTTCTACTAGACGTAATGTTGAGGAACAAGAGTTACCAAATGCACCTGAAGTGCAATCTCAAGGAGAAGTTACCAATGCTGAGTTCCGTGAGGCTATCCGAATGTTGAGCCAAGTTGTGACCAACTAAGCTGGGCAACAAAGAAGAGCTAGACAGGAAGTGGCTGATACTTCTAGGATATGAGAGTTCTTGAGGATGAATCCTCCAAGTTTCATGGGTTCAAGCACTACTGAGGATCCGAAGAATTTTATTGAGGAACTGAAGAAGGTATTTGAGGTCATGCATGCTGCTGATACCGAGCGAGTTGAACTAGTTGCATATCAACTGAAGAATATTGCTAGGACTTGGTTTGATTAGTGGAAAGAGGGTAGAGCTGAGGATGCACCACCTGCGAGTTGGGCTTGTTTTGAGGAGGCTTTCTTGGGGTGTTTCTTTCCCCGAGAACTGAAAGAGGGTAAAGTACGAGTGTTCCTCACACTTAAGCAAGATTCTTTGAGTGTTCATGAGTATGGGTTAAAGTTCACCCAACTATCCCGTTATGCTCTGAAAATGCTTGCGGACATGAGGAGTAGAATGAGCTTGTTTGTTGCTGGACTGGCTCGTCTGTCGAGTAAGGAAGGTAAAGGTGCAATGCTGATAGGTGACATGAATATCTCAAGGTTAATGGTATATGTGCAGTAGGTTGAGGAAGAGAAGATGGGGGATAGGGAAGAGTTTAAGAACAAGAGAGCGAAGACAGGGAACGAGTCCGGACAGCAGAAGAGTAATGCCAACCGGTCATCCTTCTAACATAAACATAAGGGATCTGCTCCGTCATCTGCTAGTGCACCTGCACCTAAGAAAAAATGTGAGTATAATAGTCAGAATTTCAGAGCTAAACCTGCTTATTCTCAGGGTAGCATGGCGCAAGGGGGTAGTTGATGTTTGACATAATCAAAGACATAACTTCCAATTGAAGTGTCAACAATCGCGTGTAGTAATATAACCCAACCGAATGGGTTGGGGTCGAGTCCTAGGGGAGCAATTAGTAATCAAGAATTAAATAAAAAAGTAAAATTATGTTCTAGTCAATCATAGCTATAAATATTTACGAGTAAAAGCATACTAAATCAAGAAGTGACATGAATGTCAATTATCAATGGGGGGTTTGTATTCAGTTAATGAACCAAAAATAGCAAAAAATATAAAGATGCAAGATGGGGAGACGGGATTCTTGGGATGTGATAGGAATATGGGACAAAATGAACAACTGGGTAAATGCTATTGATAGTAAATTGCTGAACATTTGTAACTAAGCTAGACTTTAGTGGGGGTAAGTTTTCTCTCGAACAACTTACCCCGAATCAACTTGGTTTCTCTCGAACACCAAGTTGCAGCAATTTAGCTTAGCCTTCGCCTTAGCCCATTCACTCTCTCGAGCTGAATGTGTGGGAAAAAGCCTAGGATTCACTCTCTCGAGCTGAACCCACGCCGACCCAATAACCACAGGCTATCGATTTAGTAGTTTTAGTTTTAAAACCTCTCTCTCGAGTAGGCCAAAAACACTAAGATGAAATTATATTTGCAACTACAATCTCATTAAGTTCAAACACAACTACTAAACGAAATCACATATAAACAGCAAATAGACTAACAATGAGAAATACCCAAGAGTAAATTTAACCCATATTCACATAATCACACTCCAAGAATTGGGTACGATAAATAATGTCTTTAAACACATCTAAGATGAAGATTCTTTGATGCCCACTTCCAATCTCTTGGAGATGAAAACCTTCAAACACTCCAAAGCTCAAGAGCAATGTCTCCCAAAAACTCTAAGAACTCAAATTGAAA